CCATGTAGGTTGGAGGGGTCCATGTAGGTTGGAGGGGTCCATGTAGGCCGGCATGTTTGGCATCAACGGAGTGTCTGGAGTGTCTGTGAGCCCCTACCTGGATTTTCCGAGAGATGTTGTGTGGAAGTGAGCCTGCCTCCCATCTTCTGAGTGACTGCAGACGTTCTGCCGAACTTTGGTTGGTTTGATGGATCAATGAAAACCACAGACAACAAAAAAAATGTGCACTTGGAAAACAACAGGTACTCTAACATACACCTAAGAGTTCCTTAAACAGACACCGACACCGCGGTCCATCCTTCGGGGCTTCGCTGAAGACCTTGGAGAAGGGCGAACCGGGCCGCCAAATCAAAGCGTTTTGCTTATAGTAAGGGGACCCGGGTCGACCAGGGACTTAGGGCCCTCCTCTCTGTCTAGAGCAGCGCATTCCCGTAGATGAAAGACCTCAAGGACGGTGACCCATTCAAAGTCGACCCCTTGAAGGGACCTCTTTGGTTGGGGATTCTTGTTCAGTGACACAAGTGACCGGAGGCCACTGGGATCTCCAGTTCGGTCACTGACTGAAGATCCTGACTGACAGACCGACTTGGAAGAATCGATGGTGGCATGGATGGCATGTCCACGAGTTCGGATGCGACGCAATATACGCCACAGATGTCCAAAAACCAACCATCGCCTATTTTGATCATGAGGCTTACGTAATGCAAGTCCTATTGGTGCTGGGTTCCACCTGATCTCCCCCTGGCTTCTCACTGTCCACTCGAATTATTCGATGCTATCATCTACGTGCGATCCTATCATCTTCTTGCGATCTATCATCTATGGCTGACGCCAAGGTTTCTTGATTTGCTTGGCGGTGCGTCTACGCCGCCCTTTGTGCTGGTCACTTGCGGGTCTGACGCACCCCTGACGCAGCAGCTGCAGGAGAGGCGCTGGAGCCATTCCTGGTGACGTTTTGAATGAGCTAGAATCGCTGTGTTATATATCTTAGTTTCATTAATTAGTCGTGGCATGAATGAACATTGACATATCAATTAGTATGTTAGCATGTTGCGATGTTGATTCATTATGTGCTGCATCCAGCAAATCATAGCAAATCCGAGTCAATTCTGGGAGGGAACTCCTCTCCAGATCCAGCTATTTCCTTTGTTTGGGACAAGTTTGTGACACAGACAGGAACACATTTTTTTACTCTATAGATGGATCTTCAGTGACTATACCATGTTTCTTGGGGCACCGTGTTTCCCCACCGTCGCCCGTCCACGCTCCGCTGTGCGTGCTCGCTCAGCCTTTTCGGGGAAACTCTAGAGGCTGCTGGCGGTCTCGGGCTTTCGGGCTTGCTACTCCAGCAATCTACATGTGCCCAGCTACGAGCTCAAGGAGACGGGGTGAAAACGGTGGTTCACGCGTAGCGTTCGTCCTGGCGGGGATCCACTGGGCCCTCTGAGGTACGGTGAGCAGGGACCTTGGAGACACTGTCATGTAGGTGCCATTGTCGGGTCCACCAAGTACCGAACCTGAGCAGCCTGAGAAGTATGTTAACTCCAAGTTAACCACTTTGCTAACCACTTAGCTGACTAACTCAGCTATCTATGTTAAGTTGATAGCAAACGCCAGATCATCTAAGTAGGGGGGTGTGTGTTTGTGCGTATGTTTTGTCTCCCCCACCTGTCAGGTGAGGGTTGTTAGATTTTATGTCAGCTGCCTCCCTGTTCTCCTCCTCCTCCTCCTCCTGCTTCTCCTCGTCCTCCTCAACCACGAGTGTCGGCCTCAACTGCCAGCTCAGGATGGCTTCCGGACGGCAGTGTTCCCCGCTGAACCTCAACTGCGAGTCAAAAGATATACTAATACCAGATAGAACACCAGAAAGAATGTCAGAAAGAATCTCAGAAGATACGCAGAAGATTCCCAGGTAGAATGGCAGAAGATATGCCAGAAAGAATGGCAGAAAGAATGTCAAAAGATATGCCGGAAAAAATGTCGGAAGATATGCCAGAAAGAAGGAATGTCTAGAAGATATGCCAGAAAGAATGTCAAAACAATGTTTCAATACACGCCAACAAATGTCAGATTGAAGTGTCATGGTGGGGGTCACTCGAAGTGAAGTAGTTTTTTCGTTGCGCCACAGGCACCGCAGCCCGAAGGCACGCGCGCATTTGCTTTGTTTGGAGAGGCGATATACTTCATACTCTGACAGAGCTGGATGTGTGGAGATAATCTTCGGATTTCCCGGTAAGATCAGATGACCACAGATTCTGATCTCCGGATTTACCTGGTGGCTTATAATCTTGTTTGGACATCAGATGAAAGATGTTCAATTCTGTAAAGACCTGCCAACGGTGATGATGGACCGATTTCAGGGATGGGCCGCTGTGGGGGATGGGCCGCTGTGGGGGCCGCTGTGGGCTTCCAGGAGGTGTTCCATCCATTGCCTGTGGGCTTTCTACCCGGAAGGCTGAATGCCCAGAATGAGGCGCGGGAAGGGAAATTCGCGCGAACGGGCGCCCAACGAATGCGCGGGAAGCGAGGTGGTTGGGTTCGGGCAGTTAGGGATCACTGTGGAGGTCGACCGGTCGGTTGGGTTGGAGTTCTGGGTAGGAGTCACCAAACACTTCAAGTTCAGGGCAGATACCCCTATTTACCTGCGGTTGGTATAGCATTTTTGCTGGAGTTTCAACACGCTACCTCCACCCACAATAGATGGCATGCCAGTGCTGGAATGAAGATGATGGGGTGGTCTGTCAGTTTCTATCATATCTATCAGTTTTGGGAGGGCAACCTTTTACATTCACTTACCCATCAATAGACTGCACCCGGACCTTTGTGTCAAACATCTCAGCTGGGGCATTCCGTTGATGACGTTGATGAACACACAGATCCACCCACATCAGATCCACCCGCCCTCCGCCGTCCAGGCCCTCCTTCGTCGCGCACCGCGGGCGTCGCCGCGCGACGGGCGGCTGCTGGTCCCATGGATGCGAAGCTGGCGACTGCGGCGGTCCTACTGGAGTGCGGGTGTGGTACCCCCGCGTGGGTAAGACCGTGGGCAGGTTTGGAGCTGAAGTAGCTGGGATGCTTCTGAAGAGTGTGTGGTTCCTTGATTCTAACATATTCATACATATTCTATTCTATGATATGCGATGAGTTGATAAAGTATATCAAAATTACTTGGTTTGCTGGGTACCAGTGACTTTCTGCGACCCCAGGTGACAACACTCCAGCACTTGTACTGTCCAGGGATTCCGCATTCCGTTGTTGTTGTTGTTGTTGTTGTTGTTGGTTGTCATTGTTTTTCTTTTTTTCTGAGTTCGGTGTCCTATCTTCCAACCGCTGCGAAAGTGGTATACTTCAGCACTAAAGAATTTGTATTTCCTGTGCGCGGAAAACCGAGATTACAAAGTAGATCCCCTTTTTTGCATACAAATGACAAACACGTCCTACAGACCTCCTAGGCATATGGCCTATCATAGGCCTATGTCTAGGCTAACCTCCCTGTGGTACACCTATGCCCCCTTTGTGTGTCCCATATGTCCTGTAAGAACGGGTAAACATTATTTTAGAAAACGGCCTTTGCTAACCATCATCATCCACTGGGCCCTGGCAGCGGGCAGCGCCAAACCTGGTTCCAGGAGCTTGTTGGAGTCGGAGCCCTACCGACCTTTAGTGGTTTTGCACCCTGGGAGCATCGACGTCGTCCAAAACACGCGCGTCGCGTGCGTCCGAAAAGCACCGGACGTCCTGGCTGTGCTCGGCCTGGAACAGCAGTGACCATCGTCTGTGTGTTCTACATGCAACGTATTTTAAGCAAAAAAACAGCATCGTGTATTCGACCTGCTGTCTTACCATGACTGGTAGCAGGGGGGTCAAAGCTGCAAGGTCTTGGATGTGTGTCTTTGGGGCATTGAGATGGACTCCGGCTTCCAAGACCGAGAATGTCAATTGAATCCGAGGTGTAAAATACATGGAAGTTTGGTACTCCGAGGTCGGACAAGTTGAATTTCAAAGACTATTTGCTTCAGCTGTCACGCCACTTGGCCACGAGTTCCACGGGCTTTGGAGACGCGTTGTTGTCGTCAGCTTAACGAAGGCCGGCGTAAACGATGTGCCAAGTGGATCTTAAGAATAACAACAAATCTCAAAGGGAAGTTCCTTGGTTCATCCAGAAGTGGCATTTAGGCAGCTATACCGTGTTTTTGATGTAGGTGTGTATTTAAATAGGGAGACCTCCCAAAGAGCCCCCTGAAGAAGAGACACTTAAATTGACCAAAACCATCTGCTTGGTGTTTAAACATGTATCATGAATCATGTATCAAAATTGTTGACGAGTCTTGATGAGTTGACGAGTATTTCGCACCAACACCATGACACACAGTGGTCAAAGTTGATGGGAAGAAGACACCAGCATGCTTCATGTGTGGGAGTGAATGTTTGGGGAAAGAACAGCTTGGTTGGAGTCCGAAACGGGTTTCTCTTGCATTGGGCTGGACATCAATACAGCGCCTTGTGAGGGATCCTCACACCGACTGTTCAGTTCGGTGCGGACGGTGATTGTGTTTCGCATGCTGTTGAATCTTTGTGTTCTCAGAACACATGTGGAGTCTCACGGGTCCAAAACTACCTGACTGCTCACCATTGATTGGTCCACGAGGGTTTTCGCCAACTGACCAGGTTCGTGATCCCGGTCCCGATCACACGAGGGCCTGCTTGGTTGGCCGATTTGGTCCCGTAAGTTCGGACTCCAAAACCCAGACACGACCCATGGGACTGCCATAGGACTGCCGCCCCAGACAGACCCCTGTTCAACCACCCCTGGCCGTTTCTCGGCAGTCCGTCCTGGTAGTCCCGTCCATGGCGTTTGGGAAAGGTCGAAGGTCTGCTGGGCACCAGTGGTTCCATGTACCAGTGACCTTCCCAGTGACCTTTTCACGTTTCCTTCCCATGTGGTCGATGTGGATGTGTTGGTCGTTCGTCACCCAACGAGCGTTCGGGCTCCTTGGGTTCGGCACCGAACTCCATGGAACTGCTGGCATATCAAAATGATTTTGACCTTTCCCAGACACTCCATGGGACTAGTATATATATATATGATCGAGGGTCCTTTAGGTATCATTTCGTAAAAAGAAACAAACACA